ATCAAGATATTAATTATTCAAACGACGTTTATTATCAACTAAAATGCCAAATGTTAAAAGAGTCAACAGAGGAAAGGAAAAAGCCCGAAAGCGAATTAACATTGATTCACCAGATATCAAAAGAAAGCTTGCCCATATCGAACAACAACTACTTAGAGGACATAATGAATACGAAGCAAGAGAACTGTTTCACGAGTACTATACTATCACCGGAAAAGAACACGAACTTAGACGAAGCCATTCAAACTCTAATATGGAAATATTACAACAACCGCATGAAACAGAGGAAAACGGAGAAAGCTCTAAGACATTGCTTCCAGGAGAATATAACGCTAATGACACCGGAACAAAACCTAGAGAACATATCAATATCGGATGCGAACAAAATTGTGAAGATGGACCAACATCTATTCCTACAAAGTGTGAAAATGATGATGAGGGCGAAACGACAACCAGTATTGAAAGCGGAAAAAATATTATTGAAATATCTTCGGATGAAGAGTGGGTTGAAGAAGTCGAAGAAGAGGAACCGAACGCATGCTGTGATAACATCACAAGGACAAACCGATGCGCCGAATTAAAACTGGACAACTCGGTAAGAAAACATAAATATGTATATTTATGGGACGATATGTAAATTATAAATAAACGTAAATATATATAATTTTAGGAACTATTGTGTTTTAACAAAGAGTTAAAGAGAGGTTTTGACATCTTTCATGTCATTAATACAGGAAAACCAACCAGCAGTATATGGTACAACCAGAAAGAGGCCAAATGCGACGCATTGGACATATGTACTAAGACCCACACCATTTGCCGATATTTCGACGGCAAGGAGAGCGAATTCTCGGGACAACTGCATACCCATACCATTCTTGCAAGCTACGTCCTCGATAAATCAGAAAGAAGTCCCGAGGGAGAGGCACTACGAATTAGACGAGCATACTTCCGTGAACGCCAATACCTCTGCAGAGGATGTGGGGAAATTACTAGAAAACGATACGGACACTTCTGCCACATGTGCAACTGCAGGATTTCGGTTAAGCACGTTACTTCCGCTTCTTACTTCAAGAATGCTGTTGTCTACGTGCTTGACCGTGATTAGTTACGTAAAAGCACACATAACATTTGACCTGGACAACATACAGGAAGAAACAATACTTACAAAAAGACAACCACAAAAACAACAACAGAAACAAAACTTTGCTAACTACTTATTTGATAATAAAATTATGAATTCACGACATTACGATGACGAACTAGCCAGGAGTGACACATTAAGACAACTTGAATTTACAATACAATTAAAGGACCTTGAAATTATCAAAAAGACAATATTTCGACAGGTATACCTACAACAACGTAACATAGACGTACTGACGCCTAGAATAGTAGTATCAAACAACAAATCACGCTTGGGTGCTCTGATGTTCTTTCTATCAAACATCGCCCTACAAAACCAAATCTCGGTTAATAGGTTAAAACAATTACTTTGCAACTTTATCTTCAATCTCAACCACAAAAAACGAGGACTCATTCTATGCGGACCATCAGATTCAGGTAAAACATTTCTTGCTAACTTACTATATTCGAACTTTAAGCCACATGAAATTGGGTACTTCAACTGTCCCACTGGACCTAATCCATCTGCTTTTCTACTCCAGGCATTAAGTAATTGTTTAGCTTATCGATGCGACGAAATGGTTTTCGAACATCTAGGCGTGATTCAGTTGATGAAACAACTATTAGAGGGATCAAATACGCTTACTACAGACGTCAAATACAAAGATGCGATGCCAATCGATCCACACCCGACTCTTATCACCATGAATTCTACATCAAAGGCCGACATATTAAAATGGCATCCTTCGGAGTATCAGGCGTTTGAAAATAGGTGTACGATCCTTTTCCTAGGAACGCCATTACTTAACATATTCAACGATAAGGAATTACAGGAAATAAATACCTGTGGCTCCGAATTGCTGTATATGTTAAGTATGCACAAATTGGACAGAGACACAAATACTGCAGGGGTATTGGATAAATTTCAGGACTTTATTTTTTTATAATAATAACAATAATTTTGTATATAATTTTATTAAAATATATAATTTACAATAACTTTTGCTTTTTTTCTACGGGTTCGTCATTATCTAACTGTTCCACTTTACCAATAAACATAGTGCTAAATGCAGGATAATAAATTTTCTGATACGAATTAACAAAGGTAATTTTAGGATTGTTTTTAACGCATGGGTTAGCCATAGTAACAGTTGTATATGTAGCATCTTTACCAAAACGTGATTGCTTAATAGTAGGACGCTTATAATTCTCGTTAACAGGCTCAACACGAGTACGATCATACGTCCAATCCTTGTCAAACACCTGTATTCTATGTTTAAGTCGTAAACGACCACGAACAGTAGTAGGCATAACTTCTTTACCAATATAGGCTGGATCAATACAAAAATATAAACGTTTACAGTTCTTATTGCCACTAAACGGCATTACAGTAGGTAAATTGTTCCAATAGGTATTATTAACATTTTCAGTATACTTATCCCCTGCACAAATATCGTAATTGGAACGATTTTTAAACAAAACAGCAGAATGATCAAATTCATCATAAGGTTGCAAAAATACATCAAAACATTGTTCAATATTATAAGGATCACGTGAATCGGCACAATAAGGAGTGATAGCATTTAATATACAACCTATATTACCAGTATTATATTGTTCATAGGGTGAAACTCCTTGTCTTTGCAAATACCATCTATCTAACTGAACGGGATAACGTATATTTTTACGCTTATCATCACCTTCAGAAACAATAGAACGTGCAATAAGGTTTTTAATTCCATAATTAGGCATATGAATATGACCAAAACGATAATCACAAGGATAGGTATTAATAATAGACCAATTCTCATCAAAAAATCCCTGTGCTTTCTGTTTATCAAGAGAAGCTGTTGAATCAATAAATTGACCACCAGGATCAAGTGACGTATCGGTAAACTTGAATGATCTTGATGTATACGGGTCATTAACAAGTAACTTTATCGGCTTACGTAAACCAATATCATTCTTCCAAACAATACTATGTATAACCTGTTCCGCAACATTATTCTTTTCAAAAAACCTAGGATCTTTAGTACTTACAACATTTGAAAATCGTGTAGTAACGGGTTTACCGGTTCTATCATTAAAAAACAATGAATTCTCCAACAATTTTACAGAAGGTAAAGGACTAGGTTTTTTATCAGCTGAACTAAGTTTTAAATTAACCATTTTAGCCCAATCATCTGAATCTCCTAACGGATAACAAACATCAGATATTAACTGATCACCTTCAACATCGAAAAATCTAATTCCAATATTTGACATTTCCAAAGGTACAGAAGAGTTCTGTGTTGTTTTTAATTGATTTTCAACGCGTACGTCCATAACATCACATTCAACTGACTTATCAACATAATATATTCCACCTGTAGCCATCCAGTATTGATCGGGATTAGTCCAGAGATTAGGGTAATCAACGGGAAAATAATAAACATTTTGAACAGTATCATTAGTACAATCAACACACCAATATATAGATTGCTCGACACAAAATTCATCATAAAAACCTTTACTACAATCAAATCCTCTTTCGATAACGAAATCGGGTGATGCGCTGACTTCGCGATTCGGGGGTTGCTCGGCCATTAACTACGTGATAACCTCTTTGCGACCAACCGTTTCTTCCTTTTGGATGAACGAATATTCTTCTGTGTGTCCGCACCATAGGCTGCTGCAACATCAAATGAGTAATTACCAAATAACTTCTCTAATATAGCAGGACTCTCCTTCATAACACTCCATGGCATTGCATATTTAGGTAATTCATCATAAAACTTAGGAAACTGATACGGTTCAAAACTGTATTTATGCATCTGTTTAGCTAAATTAGCTTCTTTAATATAAGGAATTTCTTTAGGGTCATATATATCAACATTTCCAGGTTTAAGTCTCATATAATCGGGTAAGTCATCTTGCGGTACAGGTTGATAATCAGGATCATAATTCCAACCTTCCACACTTTCGGACATAGTACTCATATCAGTAATATTACCTACTTTAGTTGAATTAGAATTGACAGAGCTAGTAGTAGTAGTGCTAGATCGTGACCAATCAGAATCGGAATATAACATATCTTCAAATATATTGGTAGGCCTTGTTTTACCCATTTCTTTCAATGCAATATACTCCGTTTTACTTATATTATTTTTAGGTAACAAAGCTGTTTTTAAAATCTTTCTAACATTAGGCATATGCATATAAGGTACGGTTTCTTTAGCTAAACTAGCAACGGCTTTAACACTTTTAACAGCACTAACAACACTTTTAGGGTTAAGAGCACCTGTTAAACCAGTAACAACTGATTCAGCAATACGTGCAACATTTTTATTTTTAAAATTTTTTTCGTTGATACCAAATATTTGATTATCCCATCCAGGTGCCACCTGTAAAGACTTTTTAGGGATAACTTTGTTTTGTTTAAAGTGCGCTTGATTCTTGTTGAAACCGTCCGGAATCGGAAAGTAATAATCGTCTCCCATCTGTAAGTTTAACTGTATTAGTGCATCCACATATGTTCCAAATATCACATGCAAATAAATTATGATCAACACATTCATTATATAATGACTTACAAGCGGTACGGCCACACCAATCGCAATGCGTAACCGATACCAACGCTAACAACATTAAAAACATTTTAATACAACTTTATAACCACGCCTTATATACCTTTTATAATCGGATTAATAAGCAGCAGTAATACGAAACATTTATAAATTCATTATCGACCCACCATCCTTCCAACCATATAACTATGAGATATTATGTCATTATTGTGTTAATAGAAACCATCCCACCGACCACGTGGGATCCCACATGGTCGGTGGGATGGTTTCTATTAACACAATAATGACAGTTATGAGTTTAGAGAGCGACGAAGTCACATTTCATCAAGATATTAATTATTCAAACGACGTTTATTATCAACTAAAATGCCAAATGTTAAAAGAGTCAACAGAGGAAAGGAAAAAGCCCGAAAGCGAATTAACATTGATTCACCAGATATCAAAAGAAAGCTTGCCCATATCGAACAACAACTACTTAGAGGACATAATGAATACGAAGCAAGAGAACTGTTTCACGAGTACTATACTATCACCGGAAAAGAACACGAACTTAGACGAAGCCATTCAAACTCTAAAATGGAAATATTACAACAACCGCATGAAACAGAGGAAAACGGAGAAAGCTCTAAGACATTGCTTCCAGGAGAATATAACGCTAATGACACCGGAACAAAACCTAGAGAACATATCAATATCGGATGCGAACAAAATTGTGAAGATGGACCAACATCTATTCCTACAAAGTGTGAAAATGATGATGAGGGCGAAACGACAACCAGTATTGAAAGCGGAAAAAATATTATTGAAATATCTTCGGATGAAGAGTGGGTTGAAGAAGTCGAAGAAGAGGAACCGAACGCATGCTGTGATAACATCACAAGGACAAACCGATGCGCCGAATTAAAACTGGACAACTCGGTAAGAAAACATAAATATGTATATTTATGGGACGATAGTAAATTATAAATAAACGTAAATATATATAATTTTAGGAACTATTGTGTTTTAACAAAGAGTTAAAGAGAGGTTTTGACATCTTTCATGTCATTAATACAGGAAAACCAACCAGCAGTATATGGTACAACCAGAAAGAGGCCAAATGCGACGCATTGGACATATGTACTAAGACCCACACCATTTGCCGATATTTCGACGGCAAGGAGAGCGAATTCTCGGGACAACTGCATACCCATACCATTCTTGCAAGCTACGTCCTCGATAAATCAGAAAGAAGTCCCGAGGGAGAGGCACTACGAATTAGACGAGCATACTTCCGTGAACGCCAATACCTCTGCAGAGGATGTGGGGAAATTACTAGAAAACGATACGGACACTTCTGCCACATGTGCAACTGCAGGATTTCGGTTAAGCACGTTACTTCCGCTTCTTACTTCAAGAATGCTGTTGTCTACGTGCTTGACCGTGATTAGTTACGTAAAAGCACACATAACATTTGACCTGGACAACATACAGGAAGAAACAATACTTACAAAAAGACAACCACAAAAACAACAACAGAAACAAAACTTTGCTAACTACTTATTTGATAATAAAATTATGAATTCACGACATTACGATGACGAACTAGCCAGGAGTGACACATTAAGACAACTTGAATTTACAATACAATTAAAGGACCTTGAAATTATCAAAAAGACAATATTTCGACAGGTATACCTACAACAACGTAACATAGACGTACTGACGCCTAGAATAGTAGTATCAAACAACAAATCACGCTTGGGTGCTCTGATGTTCTTTCTATCAAACATCGCCCTACAAAACCAAATCTCGGTTAATAGGTTAAAACAATTACTTTGCAACTTTATCTTCAATCTCAACCACAAAAAACGAGGACTCATTCTATGCGGACCATCAGATTCAGGTAAAACATTTCTTGCTAACTTACTATATTCGAACTTTAAGCCACATGAAATTGGGTACTTCAACTGTCCCACTGGACCTAATCCATCTGCTTTTCTACTCCAGGCATTAAGTAATTGTTTAGCTTATCGATGCGACGAAATGGTTTTCGAACATCTAGGCGTGATTCAGTTGATGAAACAACTATTAGAGGGATCAAATACGCTTACTACAGACGTCAAATACAAAGATGCGATGCCAATCGATCCACACCCGACTCTTATCACCATGAATTCTACATCAAAGGCCGACATATTAAAATGGCATCCTTCGGAGTATCAGGCGTTTGAAAATAGGTGTACGATCCTTTTCCTAGGAACGCCATTACTTAACATATTCAACGATAAGGAATTACAGGAAATAAATACCTGTGGCTCCGAATTGCTGTATATGTTAAGTATGCACAAATTGGACAGAGACACAAATACTGCAGGGGTATTGGATAAATTTCAGGACTTTATTTTTTTATAATAATAACAATAATTTTGTATATAATTTTATTAAAATATATAATTTACAATAACTTTTGCTTTTTTTCTACGGGTTCGTCATTATCTAACTGTTCCACTTTACCAATAAACATAGTGCTAAATGCAGGATAATAAATTTTCTGATACGAATTAACAAAGGTAATTTTAGGATTGTTTTTAACGCATGGGTTAGCCATAGTAACAGTTGTATATGTAGCATCTTTACCAAAACGTGATTGCTTAATAGTAGGACGCTTATAATTCTCGTTAACAGGCTCAACACGAGTACGATCATACGTCCAATCCTTGTCAAACACCTGTATTCTATGTTTAAGTCGTAAACGACCACGAACAGTAGTAGGCATAACTTCTTTACCAATATAGGCTGGATCAATACAAAAATATAAACGTTTACAGTTCTTATTGCCACTAAACGGCATTACAGTAGGTAAATTGTTCCAATAGGTATTATTAACATTTTCAGTATACTTATCCCCTGCACAAATATCGTAATTGGAACGATTTTTAAACAAAACAGCAGAATGATCAAATTCATCATAAGGTTGCAAAAATACATCAAAACATTGTTCAATATTATAAGGATCACGTGAATCGGCACAATAAGGAGTGATAGCATTTAATATACAACCTATATTACCAGTATTATATTGTTCATAGGGTGAAACTCCTTGTCTTTGCAAATACCATCTATCTAACTGAACGGGATAACGTATATTTTTACGCTTATCATCACCTTCAGAAACAATAGAACGTGCAATAAGGTTTTTAATTCCATAATTAGGCATATGAATATGACCAAAACGATAATCACAAGGATAGGTATTAATAATAGACCAATTCTCATCAAAAAATCCCTGTGCTTTCTGTTTATCAAGAGAAGCTGTTGAATCAATAAATTGACCACCAGGATCAAGTGACGTATCGGTAAACTTGAATGATCTTGATGTATACGGGTCATTAACAAGTAACTTTATCGGCTTACGTAAACCAATATCATTCTTCCAAACAATACTATGTATAACCTGTTCCGCAACATTATTCTTTTCAAAAAACCTAGGATCTTTAGTACTTACAACATTTGAAAATCGTGTAGTAACGGGTTTACCGGTTCTATCATTAAAAAACAATGAATTCTCCAACAATTTTACAGAAGGTAAAGGACTAGGTTTTTTATCAGCTGAACTAAGTTTTAAATTAACCATTTTAGCCCAATCATCTGAATCTCCTAACGGATAACAAACATCAGATATTAACTGATCACCTTCAACATCGAAAAATCTAATTCCAATATTTGACATTTCCAAAGGTACAGAAGAGTTCTGTGTTGTTTTTAATTGATTTTCAACGCGTACGTCCATAACATCACATTCAACTGACTTATCAACATAATATATTCCACCTGTAGCCATCCAGTATTGATCGGGATTAGTCCAGAGATTAGGGTAATCAACGGGAAAATAATAAACATTTTGAACAGTATCATTAGTACAATCAACACACCAATATATAGATTGCTCGACACAAAATTCATCATAAAAACCTTTACTACAATCAAATCCTCTTTCGATAACGAAATCGGGTGATGCGCTGACTTCGCGATTCGGGGGTTGCTCGGCCATTAACTACGTGATAACCTCTTTGCGACCAACCGTTTCTTCCTTTTGGATGAACGAATATTCTTCTGTGTGTCCGCACCATAGGCTGCTGCAACATCAAATGAGTAATTACCAAATAACTTCTCTAATATAGCAGGACTCTCCTTCATAACACTCCATGGCATTGCATATTTAGGTAATTCATCATAAAACTTAGGAAACTGATACGGTTCAAAACTGTATTTATGCATCTGTTTAGCTAAATTAGCTTCTTTAATATAAGGAATTTCTTTAGGGTCATATATATCAACATTTCCAGGTTTAAGTCTCATATAATCGGGTAAGTCATCTTGCGGTACAGGTTGATAATCAGGATCATAATTCCAACCTTCCACACTTTCGGACATAGTACTCATATCAGTAATATTACCTACTTTAGTTGAATTAGAATTGACAGAGCTAGTAGTAGTAGTGCTAGATCGTGACCAATCAGAATCGGAATATAACATATCTTCAAATATATTGGTAGGCCTTGTTTTACCCATTTCTTTCAATGCAATATACTCCGTTTTACTTATATTATTTTTAGGTAACAAAGCTGTTTTTAAAATCTTTCTAACATTAGGCATATGCATATAAGGTACGGTTTCTTTAGCTAAACTAGCAACGGCTTTAACACTTTTAACAGCACTAACAACACTTTTAGGGTTAAGAGCACCTGTTAAACCAGTAACAACTGATTCAGCAATACGTGCAACATTTTTATTTTTAAAATTTTTTTCGTTGATACCAAATATTTGATTATCCCATCCAGGTGCCACCTGTAAAGACTTTTTAGGGATAACTTTGTTTTGTTTAAAGTGCGCTTGATTCTTGTTGAAACCGTCCGGAATCGGAAAGTAATAATCGTCTCCCATCTGTAAGTTTAACTGTATTAGTGCATCCACATATGTTCCAAATATCACATGCAAATAAATTATGATCAACACATTCATTATATAATGACTTACAAGCGGTACGGCCACACCAATCGCAATGCGTAACCGATACCAACGCTAACAACATTAAAAACATTTTAATACAACTTTATAACCACGCCTTATATACCTTTTATAATCGGATTAATAAGCAGCAGTAATACGAAACATTTATAAATTCATTATCGACCCACCATCCTTCCAACCATATAACTATGAGATATTATGTCATTATTGTGTTAATAGAAACCATCCCACCGACCACGTGGGATCCCACGTGGTCGGTGGGATGACATGAAAGATGTCAAAACCTCTCTTTAACTCTTTGTTAAAACACAATAGTTCCTAAAATTATATATATTTACGTTTATTTATAATTTACATATCGTCCCATAAATATACATATTTATGTTTTCTTACCGAGTTGTTCAGTTTTAATTCGGCGCATCGGTTTGTCGTTGTGATGTTATCACAGCATGCGTTCGGTTCCTCTTCTTCGCGGGCGGATGAGGGGTCTGGTGAGGGGTTGGTCGGGATGGTAGGTTGGAGAGGAATTTATAAATGTTTCGTATTACTGTCGCTTTGAACAATAGGGAATTAACCTGGGAATTTCCCTTATTGATACAGGATAATCTTTTTGTTTTTTTCTCTATTATTCACCATAACAACGTAAGCGTTTTTTTAAAATAAAAAGACAACAAACTTTTATTAAAACAGTTATGAGTTTAGAGAGCGACGAAGTCACATTTCATCAAGATATTAATTATTCAAACGACGTTTTTTATCAACTAAAATGCCAAATGTTAAAAGAGTTAAAAGGAAAAAGTTAAAAGGTGTAGTTAAAAGGAAAAAGCCCGAAAGCGAATTAACATTGATTCACCAGATATCAAAAGAAAGCTTGCCCATATCGAACAACAACAACAACAAAATTGTGAAGATGGACCAACATCTTTTCAACGGAAAAGAACACGAACTTAGCATTTAATAAGTATTTTGTTACTTCAATAAGAGAATAGGATGTAACTCTAAGTCTCTCTTAAGTTTAGGAAGACATAAACATTTTCTCTCTTTCATTGTTTGTAAAGTCACCAACACGTTAGAAACTTATTCTATCCAAAGTTTTATTTCGTTTAATAAACTTTCTTTCAACCATGTAAATCGCTCCTCATTAATGTCTTTATATGGTCTCAAAAAGGGCTTGCGTTTAGCTAAACTTTCTGAATAGTTTCTTACATTCATGCAATCAAAAAACTTGCACAGTTCTGCAGTTTTATGCATGTAAGTAACTTTTAATTACTTTTTACACTCCATTTTATACTTGTCAGCCAATCGAACATTCATTACAGAATATGGCGTCAAGTTGAAATGTTCCGATGTAAGTTTAGGGATAAGTTTTAAACCACGCTCTAATTTGTTATTATATAGTGTTTTTAAATGAGACCAAAAAATTTCAATTTCGTTCCACATATGACGTGTAACATTTCCCCTTAAACCTACAAAGGAGAAAAATTTAATTGTTGTGTAAATGATATCAGTAAATCAGTATAAATATTTTTCATCAGGTGATAATTAATTCATGTATTCATCTATAAAAAAAAATACCCAAAACATGTATTATCAAAAAATCATATTTACACAAACACTAACAAAATTTACCTAAATGATAAAGACAATTTCTTCATCTAAAAAAATTTTACAGTTTTTATAAGGTGAGAAACATCTGCAAAAAACCAAATAAATCTATCATTTGCGAATAAATTTATTGTACGGTGTGACTTCACTTTCCAACAACTCATCCATCATACTATGCAATCGATAAAATTTTCTATTGTTAGATCCGAAATTGATGCAATAACATAATTCCAAAATTGAAACAGTTTTCCAAAATGTCATCATAAGCTGATTTGATGCAATATCTTTTGTAGCAAAATATGCAAGACTAAACTCCAAATCAGATGCTATGCCTCTAATATAATAAATAAGAGCGTGAGTCGCAAGTACATTTGAGTCTGAAGTAGTTGATACTTAGATCAACATACCCAATAAGTTCGTCTGTATATTTATCAAAAACTAAATCCTCTTAAATCTTGACTTCATCAAAAGAAAGACAAACAAATCTTTGGTCACCAATTAGATTTTAAAGTTTTATTCCTAAGATCATCTATTACTGCAGGATTGAAACCTGCAGTAATAAATGATCATAAAACCACAGGGTTTTATGGCATTTTGGTAAATTTTAAGTGTTCTGAGACTCGGAAATTTTAATATTTTGGCAGATCGTAATTCATCCATAAGCAGATACAGACTTCAGAAAAAATAATATCACAACTTAAATAATGTTTGTGAATTGATAATCCTGGTTGCAAGGCAGTTGACTTATTTTTTGTTGGAACATAGTGACATACAAGTTTATTTAAAGTAATATTGGTAATCCAAGGCATATTTTAAAATGCTCTATTT